TCCTCTGCCCATTTGCAGTGGGGGCGTTACGTGGGTGTGGCCGCATATTGCTTTTCAAATTGGTCATAATAAAAAGCATGCGGGTATTGAGTTTTTATGGCGTTAACAAATTGCATTTTATAACACAATTTTGATGTGTGCGTGTGTATGTGGCTAGCAAAAAAAAAAAAAAACGAAAAATAAATAAAATAAAACAAAAGAGATAATAATATTCGGCTATTTGTTTGTGACTCGCATTGGGATTTATATGTGGAAATTTTCAACCGGCATGGGAAAACAAAGAAAACTGTGAAACTTGATTTAAGTTCTCAAAATAGTTTGGCATGTTCTGAAACTATAAAACACTAGAGTTAATATATTTTATAATATTTAATGCTGCATAGTTTTGGGCAAATTATTGTTGTCTATCTTGGCTTAAGTCGTATAAACCTAATAGACTTTAGAATAGAAATAGGTTAAATATATAGATATTAAGTTATATACACTGGCTTACAGGTCCTCTAATTAGTTAAGATTTAGATCTAAAATGATCTTAAATGCATATACAGAATATCTATGTTTCCGACTTTGAGCATCCAACCTAGAATCCAGGATGTGCCCAAGTCTAGCACTCCCGACTATAGTGCTCTCACTTATTTTCCTGTTACTCTAACTCATTTTATTCACTTGCTCAATTTGTTCTACTTGTGTTTTTGATATACATATTACAACTAAATGCATTCAATTTTTATATCATTGCACAAAATCAAAAATAAAAATAATATTGTGAAAATAAAGCCTTTCAATTGTTCAACGAACGAAAAAAACAAAGCGATGAAAACGAAAAACTTTCAATCGGAATTGTATCATTCGATTCGATTCAATGCTCCACTCTCTTTGTCTCTCTCTCTCTCTCTCTCTCTCTCATTCTCTCTTTCTCTAACTGTGTGTGGTCTTTCTATTAAAAATAAACAAATCCCTAAATACGCCACTCAAAATTCAATTAAAACTCTCGACGCACAAGCGCCGACAGATTTACAAAGCTGCCCCCTTCACACACACACACACACACACACATCCATGGAGTATGCGCTCGTGTGTGTGTATGTGTGCGGAATACCAACAACTGAGTGCTTTCAACTGTATTTTGAAATATTTATATGCTTGTCAGTGAGGTAAATCGATGCTTATAAATGGTTAAATGGTCAGCCCTACAAATTATGCAGTACAATGGGTTTTTTGGCTCTTGCATTTAACATAAAGTTCATGTTATCGGTTTGGCATACTCGACACATTCGATAATGTTGCCAATTGAGCCAAAGGCATGCAGAAAAAAGTCAAATAAAAAATAAAAGAAAAACATGTTACCAACTTTTGACATTAAGACCCAGATAGTAGGCTGCACTGTTTATGAGTTAAGAGCCGAGAATAGCCAAAAGTTGAAATAGAGCTGCTGCACATGTCTGCAGTGGCATGCAAATGTCATTAGGGTAGCAGCCAAAAGCACAGCCAACAACAATTTTCGTTGCCTATTATAAGTCTAAGTTAGAGACGTTGGCGTGAGTCACGAATAGTAGACAAACATATATTTTATAGGCTCGACTTATACTTTTAAGGGCTACAAATGTATGCATAATTTTGTTCTGCCTTCACTAACATCTGATGTGAATCGCATAATGAAATGCTTAGGATCCACACCTCGGCTTCAAGTTTGCCATGCTTATGCCTTCCACAACCTACATTCCACACAAACTAAGCGCAATCGACCGATCACCACAATAGCTAAATGCAGACTGCAGCTCGTTTCTGATGCGGCACCGAGCTAAGACAGCACATTGAGCAGAAGAGAAAAAGAGAGAAAGAGAGCTGCAGCAGTAAGGAATGTTTCCAAGATGAGAGAGACAAAGCATATTTAATTTCCTCGCTGATCACTAGGTATGTGAAACATCTCCTTTACTCTTATACGCTACCATTTTGAGTATTTTTAGACGAGTATTAGTAAATCGAAATACGTAATAGTTAGGCAATGTATATTGATATTATATAAAGCTCAAGACACGACGCACTCATCTCTATGGAATTGAATGAGCGACAAGCTGCGACGTTGTTGAAGCCATTTTGAGCAGCTGTTTCGCCTGCTGCTCTTTTTTGTCAGTATGTTAAGTATGCATTTTTTTCCCATAGGTATGCATATGTATGAGAATGAGTGTGAGTGTGTGTATGTGTGTGTGTGTGTTAAATGTGTGCGATTTGTCGTGGTAGCTACATAATGTCTAGTGGAGGTCGGTAGAGCCGTTATGCTTATGGTTTTGCATGGCGGCACGTGTGAAGCATGCAGATGCTAGGCTCAAGAGTGGTGAGCCGAGAGCGGAGAGTGCAGTACCAAGAGCAGCAGGCAGCAAGCGGAGAGAGCGCTTGGTCAAATACAGTCCACCAACCCCAACGAATCACCCGGGCAAAGCAAAACTGAAATTGAACAAATTCCTAACAAATTGGAATTTGGTTTGTTTTTTTTTTTATTTTATGCTTAGCTTTGGTTTGTTGTTGTTGCTTTTTTTTGTGCTTTGTCTCATTTCTTTTGCGCTGCCAGCAAAATTTGCTCACATTTTTCTTATTGTTGTTTTGCCGTCTCTTTTTTTGACGTTCTATTCTTGCTGTTGTTTTTGCAACATTGCCACGCAAGATTTCGTCTCAAATATGCGCTAGGGCCATTATGATTATTTCTACATTGCGTTTTGGCCACCCGCCCCCAGCTCCTCCCACTCCGTATTGCTGTGCACTTTGAAAAATGACACTTTACAACTGTTGTAATTTGTTTTTGTTTTAGTTGTTGGTTTCTTTTTTTTCTCCCTTCATTATTTCTTCTGCTCGCTTTGGTCAACTATGTGGGCATGGCTGGTGCAAATTGTGGGTGTCAATGTGATTTGTAGCCGGGCCAATGATATGGGCGTGGCAGCCAATATGCTGACACGAAATTGAGCTGGAGAAGTGTACGAGCAAAGCATGTTCAAATGAAGAACTTGAAAGTAGAAGGAATTTCAAATTGAATGTCAGTTACAATATATCGATTAATGTATTAATCGATAGGAACTACAACCATTCAATATATATGGGCACACTGGCTAAAAAGAAGTCGATCTTTAATCAATTAATAATTGATAACTAATAATAAATTTCATTTTTGTTTTTTAATAATTAAAAATAATTAATTAATATTTGTTAGCCAACTGTACTGTATTCACACATGTCAGTTCATACTTGTTTAATAATTATATCAAATGCAAAACCTTATCGAGAATAAGCTTCACACAATACGTGATTATTGTGTCATCTGAAAGAGCTGGGCAACAGAGTTTCGAATCCTTTTGACCACTTGACCAGCTAACCGCAATTTAATCATTTGGTCCAGCTGACAAACAAGCGAATGTAACTGGCCAAAACGAACCGCAGAAACCAATGTTTATTATTTTAGCATACAAATTAAATGCAATATTTATAGATTTTAATTCGCTAAATAATTACCATATATTTATGCTAGTGCTATATTTATATTTATGCATACATATACATATATGAATGTGTTTCTGTAGGGCCCCCATTTTCAATTAGGTACATAAATGTCTAAAATCACATTTGGAGCTAACTTTGCGGTCAGCTGTGCAGTAGGTAGCGTGTGGGCGATAGGGGCGTGGCAGTTACCCATTGCCTCTAAATTATTGAAATGCGATGCAAATTAGTTTCCAGCTGAACAAATTGCAGCATTTTTCCCAACCAGCCTAAATGATTTTTATTACAGGCATTTATCTATATAAATTTGTATATATATTAATTTTTTGATCATCATTTGTTATTTATTAAAATCATTTGCGTSGCGCTGAATTGTAATTAATTTTTTTTATTTATTTATTTTTATTTATTTTTTTTTTTTCCCCCATAAGCAAAATAAATATTGCGAAAGAGAGCATAAAAGGACACGAGACACGGATAGACAGATATTAAGAAATAATGTCTAAGAGACAGAGAGAGATGTTAATAGAGAGTAAAAAAGGGTTGAGATGGGAATGAATTAAAAGTTAGTTCATTTCATCATATTTTCATTTCTTAAAAAGAGTTCAAGCTCATTTCCAAATTTGTTTAATTTGAAGATCGCTATCTTCAGTGCTTGAGTCAAGTTCAAGCTTGAGCAAATATGACATAGACAGTTCCAAAGTGAGCTTCAACCCAATTAAATCCATCTGACAACATTCCACCAATTAAATGAAAATATTTAGTAAGTAAGCTGGCAGTGGAGTCAGTGTTAGCCAAGTCATATAAACTTAACGATGATATGAAATGGTCAATGAGAAGTAGAAGTAAAAGAAAACTCTGGGACGGTTGCGCCCAGCCACCAGCTGGCAAAGAGAGCAACACGTTGCGGCCGTTATTATGGGACACCATGGGGCATTATTAAGTCACGTAGCCATCGTGTGTGGCTGACATTTTCTTCAATTATTGTACTTATGGTTTCCATTCGCGTTTTACCCGAACGACTACATTTGTTGCATTTTCTTTTCTCGCTTTTTTTCTTTTTTTTTGTCATATGAAGTTTGTCTTAGCGTTAAATGAGTTGTGGCCCAGAAGCGTGATGCCTATTTTACTTAACTTAAAGAGCTCGTATATGATAGACTCAATCGCATGAAATATTTATATTTAAGTTTTTATTTTAGTTTCTCTTAGGCAATATTTATGTACGTATTGACACAAGTAAAATGTAAATGAAATTCAAATCTAACAGCTTTTGCTGATACCTAACAGTTCTATGTTAATTAACATCGCGCTGTAGCACCGATAACACTTATGTTATACACTTAACGCACAACTATGAAGTATAAGAGTATTGGAGTATAAGACACTTTAGCCGCCAAATTTAACAAGGAATAACCCACTGCACTTAAACGAAAAAGAGTTAATGGAAATTAAATAGTTTTTGTTATTGTTAGTTGTTGCTTTTGCGAGCACTTCGACGAGTTATTGTCGTTTATGTATTTTAAAATCCGCTATTTATGTGCTGCATAGGCCTTTCGTAGCGCACGCCTCTTGCGCTTACCCACAGCCGGCACGAATCCGCCGCTTAAGCCCGAAACTGTGCCCAGCTGCAGCAGCAACGGATTACTGACCAAAGCAGCGGCAATGCCCAGGACCGCAGCGCTGGCTAATGGAATGAGAAAACTCTTGGCTAGCAGCGCCTTCTGCGACAGCTCCGGATGACCTTTGTGAGTGGCCAGTTCGTGTGGCTCCAAGTAGGCGTATTCGCCGCCTGCACTGGGCCCCGGATAGTGGATATGATGATGGCTGCCATGCACCGGCCGTGAGCCATAAACATCGAAGGGAATGCCCGTCTCGCCACTGTTCCCGCCATAGTAGCTGCCATGGCCAGCACCTACGCCGGCGTACTCATAGGGATGCCCCTCGTAGGCATAGCTGGCATGTCCGTGTGGTGTTTGTATGTGCGCCGTCTGCGTTGTACCGCCGCCAAAGTGACCTATTCGAGTGGTTTGGTGTGAGTGAGTGGTTGCACTCTCTGTTTCTCTGTTCACAGCTCTTCTACATACCCACGCTGATGCGATCGTGCTGTCCGGCGCTCTGCTTCCACTTGTTGTAGGCCTCACTCAGCGATTCACCCACGCTGCCCAGCTGGGCACCAGCCAAGCCCGACGTGCCCGCGCCAGAGATGGAACTGGAAGCCGGACTGGTGATGGTACTGCCCGGTCCCCGGTAGAATTCCGGCGGCGGATCGTAGCTCTTGGCTATGTTGGTGCCAGCGTAATCCAATTGATTCGGCACTTCTCGTTTACTCGTATTCCCACTTGGCTCCCAGACAACATGGCTGGCGTTTTGCGTGGAGCCCAGCTCCAGGCTCAAGCAGAGGCACAGACCGAGTAGTTTCCAATTGCCGACGAACATTGCGACTAAGTCTGCTGCCAGCGCTGTCAATGGACTTTATAAAACATTTCTCGAAGAAGACAATTGCCAAATGGCTTTCTGGAATATATTTGTTGTTGTTGTATGTTTCATTTTGCCATTTGGCGACAAATTGCGCTTTGGCAATTTGAGACAAAAATTGTGAGCGTGTCGCTTGGCAGGCTTTGGGCCTCAACTCTGTCGCGCAACCATTAGACAATTAGGGCCGTCAAGCGAGGCGAAGTTCTTTCGCCAACACATTTTTGTTTTGGTTTTTCCTTTTCGTTGTTTTTCTTCATTTGTTTTTTTTTCCTTCTTTTTTTTGTGGAATTGTTCACGTTAGTGGGGTTTCACTTTTGATTTCTTCAACATACACACAGATAGTCGACATCTGCTTGTTAACTTGGCCAAGACGCGTGTAGTTGCCAATTTGCCAGCAACTGGTTAATAAAATAAACCTTATCAAAATAAATAAAACGCGCCCGCATTATGGAGTAACTTAATATATTTAACATATTTATGAATTTAAGCTATGTGGCGACCCTCGCTTACGACCTTAGCAATTTTGCAGCACTGTACAAGTTTATTTCCATTGAAAACTTCGACATTGCCAAACACTATTCACGAAGTGAGTTAAAGTAGAAGAAAAGGTTCAGGTTTCTCTTTGATAAGGTAGTCTAAAACTTTATAGATAACACGAGTAAATGAAAAAAATAATATTATCAAATATAATTATGATTATTAAAAATAGTTATATTTTAAATATAGTTAGACCTCACAATGAGCTAAAGTAAATGAAGACCAAGTTGCTAATTTCTGACTTTTCTTCTGCTTCTATTGTAAGTTTTTAGTTCCAGGTAGATTATAGGAACTAGACCTGATTATTATAATAATATTGCTATTGACGACAATAATGATAATCATAGCAATAAATTATACAAATAATGATAACACTAATGATAATTATTAAGTAAAGAGAAATTCTAATGATTATTATGAAAATCACTCTTATAATATGTTATTTATTCTTATAGACCTGAAGAACTATGTCAATAATCTCTCATACTAGCTCGATGGGGAAATACCCCAATGGGGGTAGCTAGACTGGCCAGCTATATTCCAATGGTCAGTAATATAACTGAACTATGATAAGATAGGCAGTATTAAAGGAAACTGGAAAAATATATAACTTAAAATCTGAAGAGTAATTTGAATTTCATTTTGATACATTAATATTATGATGAAAAAGAAAAGAATGAAGATTATTAAAAACCACAAAATTCATAATGAAATATATCAAAATGATGATGAATGATAAAAAATAGTAACGAACGCGCGCTGTTCTTTGGATTCTCTAGATATCTGCTTGGCAAGCACCAACGTCACGATGTGTCGTAAGCACTCATACTAAGTCGTCCATTCATATATTGTAGAAATTGCAAACTTTGCTCTTGCCTGATAATAAATACAATTATTTTTGCAATGTTTTTAGATTGTGGGCTGATTACAAACATCGATTGTTCGAGTTTAATTAAAGTTTTATTTAATTTTCAAATACAACGAACGACACACGTGACACATATTTATAGAGCAACGATTATATTTCGACTATAACAACAGAAACAATAAAAATTAATTAAACTTTGGTATTGTTGAAATGCTTGCGCAACTCATTGGGCAGCCCTCGCTAAAACTCTACTCTTGCACATAGTTAAGAAATTAACGCCGTTTGTCTTCGCTGCATGCACTAAGTACGTGAGCGGCGTTGTTTTGTGGGCGTGCCCGAAATTGTTGCGCAAGTTTCTTGACATTGGCAAAAGGCGAAAATATTTTGTTTATATTTTTATTTATTTTTTCAATTTTTATTCCATTTATTTTTTTTTTTTTTTTTTTGCGATTGTTTGGTTAACCTTCACGTTTCGGATGGCGCCTCCCACTGGGAACAAATCTGTCTGCCCTTCCCAGCCATTCTTATCAGAAACGTGTGAAACTCTCCATTATCACTTTATTGAGAATTTCGGTGGCATTTCATCGAATCACCTTATCTGAATTGCGTATACAAGGTGAGAGTGTTGGGGAAATGAAACAATTCCAGTAGCTTTTATCAGAGATTCTTGTTAGATTCCTATGAAAGATGACACACGCGCACGAATAATAGATTGGCGCTATATTTGTATACATATATACAATATTCCGCGTGTTCTATCTATAACTAACACATAAACACAAATAGTCAAGATATCAATTTATATCAGATTTTACTTTGATATAGAAATTGCTCAGGTATTATATTTGAACTATGGGTATTCCCATAGAGAGATAGAGAGAGAGAGAGAGAGAGAGAGAGAGCGATAGTTAAGAATAGGAGAAAAGAGCAGTTTAAATTTGTGTAAGAGACAGAGTAAAAATAGAATTAGTACTGAGAAAGCAAATCGAGATGGGAAGAAGGAAGATAGAGGAGTAAATACGAGGGAGAGAAAGTAAGATATTTGTAGGCATATACAGAGAGAGAGAGAGAGAGAAAGAGAAACAGAGAGAGTCAAACAAAAAGAGATAATAGGAAGCTGAAAGATTAAGTTGGAAAGAGAGTAAGATAACGATAAAGAGAGACTAGGACAGAGAGAGATAGTCTGAAAAAAAAAGAGAGTAAGATAGAGAGAGAAAGAGTCGATACAGAGAGAGCCAAATCATAAGGTACAATCAATTTTAACCCCAAGCAACCAGTTCACAGACATTCTGTCAGATAAGCAAGGTATGGTTATATTTCCGGTTCAGTGCCATAAAGCAAATATTAAAATTTATTTTTAAACACCTAATTAGCAATTTCTCGTCTATTTGATATATGTTTGAAAACAGTTGACTCATCATCTAAATAACTTTCAACTGTTCAATTTGCGGAACAGCTACCCAGCACCCTCTTTGAAATGGTAGCTTATGATGATGTGTGCCTTCTCCTCTCAAGTCTTGTTTAACAGACAATTATTATTATTATTATTATGTCAGGTCAATTCTCTTTTAAGACTTTCAATTTGTCATGTACATAAAGCATAGATATAGTTAGATATCTGAACCTAATAACTGAAATTTAATCATTAAATTAAAAAAAAAAAAAAAGAAAAATAGAATACATTAAAAAACAATATAAATATGAACAAAAATCTCTATAAAAAAAGTCACACGCATACATATATAAAAAATATAAAGCAACCTTTATATAATATTAAAACAATTATAGATATACAAAA